TTTCATAGGGGTTTTTTTGGGTTTTTTTATATTTTCATTTCCATTTTATTTCAGCATGTCTTTTCAGGTAGTCACCTGAAATGTATTCTTCCACATTTTTCAATCCTTAGTAACTACTTAGATTTACAAATGGGAAGTTTCATTGTTTGTCCAGGTGTAATTATTTGCCAGAGAGCAGATCTCTTTTGTTCCTGCAGAAATCTATTTGCCAATTAGAGGTTAAACTCAATCAGTGAAGAATTATTTTTCACCTATTTTTAGTTGTTTATTTTCTTTGCTCGTGGATTGAAGGAGCAGTGCTAGTAAATATTGTTGTCTTGTTTCATTCAAAGGATTTTTAGTGTTACCTTGTTTTCTTCTGTTTACATTGCAATAAGGATCCTTCTCTGTGCATCTGTGTTCAGCAGCCCCATTCTTGATCAATAGTGAAAGATGCAATGAAATTCTGTAGAATTTGCTGCTGAGCCTGTACCAGTGGGAAGGTCAGCTCTGGAATCCTGAAAAATGCTGGGAGTGCTCAGTTTGGGGCCTGCCTGGTTGAAGGTGAAGATTTCTTCATCCCCTCACTCTCCCAGCTCTGGCAGAGGCACATTGTGTAACAGCCTCTTCCTGATATTCCCTAAATGAGTAACTAATGGCTAAAAATACAGTTTTCACTTAATGCAGAAATTCCTTCTGTAATGTGATACATACTCAGTTCTGCACCCATAGGAATATTATTACTTTCAGACTGTTAGTCTTATTATAAATTCAGGTATGGAGTTTTAAATTCTGCTGTTACTAAAATCATTTAGTGACTGAGCATGTAACAAAATACCTTGTTGTGAGAACATTAAAATAAAATTTAAAATATTAAAAATATAATAAAAGATCAATAATTTTAATTAACAATAATTTAAATAATGAGAAAAATAATAAAATACCTTGTTAGGTGAAAAGTCTGCATCAAAGTATGGATGTTTTCCTGAGACCCTCTGAGTTTCAGACACCATGGAAATCTTTTAAGTCTCCTAAAGCAGATTTCAGTACAGAGCTGTGTCTGTGTTAAACACTGAGTAGCTTCCCTTGGTCATTTCATAGAGATCATAGAGAGGCATAACCTCTGCTCTTCCTCATTTAAATCTGCTGGCACTCACAGACAGAAGTTACAGAAATCCCAGCTGAGGGTTTAAATTCACTTATCTTTCCCTTCATCTTTTAAATGCTAGTACATAGAATTTTTCTCTGTAGAAGATTCTGATATTGGGAGATTTTCTTCTGTTCATTATTTTGGAGAAGAGTTTCTGCCCAGAGCTGGGTTCTTGGTTCACTTTCCCAATGTGCAGATGGTTCTCAGTCATGGACTTTGAGAAGACTCTGCTTCCAAAGAATTCACTTTCTAATGATGATCTACTAATAACTGCATAGTAGCTTTTTTCAGAATACAGGTAATTATTAAAAAGATGTTTCAATTCTGTGAGATCTTCATTTAGTTAAAAATGAATGAAAACAGGCTTCAAGTCAGAACCTTCATTAAATCCCATTTATGAGACAGAGAATATTTAAAATCTCAGTTAACTGGGGAATTGTAATTGGAAGTTCCTCAAGAGCTTAGGAGAATAATAAGTTAAAAACTGTGAGATGTCACAGGTTGTCACAGGAAAAATCTCATTCTCTTGAAATTATAAGGTTACAATGACTGCAGTGGAAATAGGGGATTTGGGATTTTGCCTTGTTTTTATATTTCAGGTGGAAAATGCAAGTTCCTTAGAAGCATAAATCTTAAACAGTTAATCTTAGGCTGTTAGTTAATGATATGATATTATGGTGGTATCTGTAGGCAGCATCCTTATTTTGAGGTTATTCTGGTTAATTACATCATATTTCAGCATTATCAAATCCCATAGGCTGCTTAAAAATAAAACAGTATAATTGGAAATGTGATGTGCATTAAGATTCCAAATTCATTTTGCATTGGATAGATGCAATGAAATCCTGCATATTTTAGAGACTTCATTAAAAACTAAACCTTTGGTTGTCAGGATTATGATGTTTTGACTTAAGAGCAGAATCTTTCTTTGTTTGATCTAATTCTGATGCAGAACTAAGTTTGTGTCCAAGTATCTGCAGTGGGATGCTTGTCAAGATCAGATTTTGGAGAAGGACCTTGTGGAAATGAATTTCAAAAAAATTATTTTCAAAAAAACTTTTTTAAAAGTGGATCAAGCAGGTTTTTTTTTTTCATGGTTTTTTGGTTGCTTCAAAGGCATTTTAATAATTCCCTCTTTTTACTGGGGCCCTTTGACATTTTTCTCCTATATAGACAGTGTCCACTAATTAATTTCATATTTTTATATAAACCAAATTATCCAGTACTTGCTGATTTGTAGTTCTGTGGATCAACCTTTTTAGAAAAGTTTCCATTTTTTCATCTCTTCTGTTTTAATCAGGCAATTAGTGATTTACCAGTTTACTTTTCCCCTCAAGCTTTTTGGGTGAATACTTTCCGTTCTTTATAATTTTTCAGTAATTTTAATCCTTTTAATTTATTATTTCTTCTGATATTCTGTTGGACACAGATCCTTTAACACATCCCCTGTTAGGAATGGTTCCAGCAGGATAAAAAACCCTGTGATTCTTCTGTAATAGAACAAACACAAGGAAAGTTCACAGGGATTTTCTGCTGGAGCTTAAATACAACTTCCTTACATTGACCGTGTATTTTCCAAGCAGTGACTTTGCCTTCCTGCTCTGGATGTGTTTGAAATGGATTTAGTATGAGCTCAAATGTGTTTAGGAAGTTGATTATGAGAAACTTTGCTGTTCTTCCTTCATATTTTTGTATTTAACCGCAGAGTGAGGATTTTTTTTGTACCCTTCTTGTTTTCCCTCTTTTGCTGTAACTTCAGCTTCTTTCAGAATCTCATGAGAAGTATGTTTTTATTTCTTATAACTTCCTGTACTTTTCAATCTATGTCAGTTTTGGAAGCAGTGTGTTTTCTCCAGTGTGTTGGTTTCTCAATACTTATTTTAAAATAACTTGTTTGGATTAATTTGTTGCTATTTTCAGCAAATTATTCACTATAATGCTTCTCACAACAGAGAACCCCCAGGCATTGATAATTTGATGTTCATTTTTCAGCCTAGATTTTTTTTGAAGTAAATTAGAAGTGGTTTTTTATAGTCTGAAGAAATCATAAATCAAATTTCTCATTTGTAATTCTGCACATCTGTTTCTAAGTGGAGCTGGTCTATCAAAACCAGGAGTAATGCATCATTTAGGAAAGCTACAGAGACAAGACATTAGGCATCTACAAAACTGATAGATCTGGGCAACAAATAGATAATGACTCATGATGGTGATTAACCAGTGAATGATTCTAGTTAATGAGATAAAATATTCATTTAAGCATCTTAAGTAATTTCTGTGAATTTAGTACTTAGTAGCTAATTAACTTCTTTATGGAGAGCATCCTTTTTTTTTTCCAACTGAATTTTCTATCTGCCATTGTACAATTCTCTGGTTAGATTTTATGTTTGACTTTTGTGACTTTTGTGACTGTTTTAAACTGGTGGTAAACTGGATTTTGATGGTTCATTAAACATTTTACAGTGATTTCTGGGACTTCTTGAATTTTCTTGTCCACTGAAACTGAGCAATGGGCTGGGGTTATTTTCACTCAGCTCCTGACTAATCCCATCTAACAGCTTTCAAAAGGGTGCTGAGCAGTACAGATAAAGGGCAGAGGGCTGCAAGTCCCAGGTCAGCTTTTCCCAAAGGAAATGTAAGGCTGAACTGTTCAGAAACAGTGACCTTTAAAGGAATACTCAGAATATTCTGCACTTAGAGAAATCCTGCCTCCCAGAGTCATTGCAGAATTCCTCACAAGTCCATAACTTTGAAAAGGGGATTGTCTGATCCTTGTGGCTCCTTCCTCCCTGGCTCTGCCCTTTGCTTTGGTTTTCCCTGGTTGTACCCTCAGTATTTTGCTTTTTCTCTCAGGATGTTCCTCCCTCTGGTGTCAGTCCTGCAGCTCCTGCTCAGACTTCCACAAGTTTCCACAAATTCTTAACATCCTCTGACAGCTCTTTAAAAACAGTATCTATCTTCTCATCTTGGAAAAGTAAAGGGGAAAGAAAGGTTAGTTATTTTAGTTTGGGGATTTTTTTGAAGAGTAAGAAAAAGCATGTCTGTCATAGCGTAGGAAAATGAGTTTTGTTCATTCTTCAGCATAACAAGGGCATGGAAAAACTGTTTCTGATGAAATCTTCAGGTTACAGTAGTTCTCAGCAGTTTTCTAACCTTAGGTCCTGTACTTGCATAATGTCAGAACTTGTTTTTCCAAAAACAAACATTCACTTTCCCCACAGCACAAACTACCCTGGTTTTCATGCTATATTTGTTGCATTGGTGAATTTCTATCATTAAAACCCGAGCTGAATTATCCTTGATTTAGGTGAAGGGAAACTGCATCCATCTCTTTTTAGGCTGATTGAAAAATAAAAATAATAATTTACAGCTACAACTCCAGCATCTGTGGAGGGTTGAGAGCAACCTGTGGGTGTTTTTAGAGGAGCCCTGAAAGCACAAGAGTGGTTACAGTTTTACCCCCTCTGTGATTTTAGCCTGAGTAATGTTTCCTAGGGAATTATGGAATGGCTTTGACTGGAGGAGACCCTAAAGTTCATCCCACTCCCACTGTCCCAGGCTGCTCCAAGCCCCATCCAGCCTGGCCTTGGACACTTGCAGGGATCCAGGGGCAGCCACAGCTGCTCTGGGCACCCTGTGCCAGGGCCTGCCCACCCTCACAGGGAGGAATTTTGTCCCAATGTTCATCTAACCCTGCCCTGTGTCCATGGGGAGCATTCCCTGTGTCCTGTCACTCCATTTTCCTCATGGAATAAATCTCTTCAAGTTCCTTGCAGGCTCCTTGAGACCCTGGCAGTGTCCTGCACAGCTCCTTGATGGCACAGTCTGGTGATGCCTGTATGCATTTTAAATATGATTTTCTTTTTTCTAGGCCTATTCTGTCTATGATGAAGACATTGGCTATTGCCAGGGACAGTCCTTCCTTGCAGCTGTGCTTCTGCTTCATGTGAGTTAATTGCAGAATGAAAGCTTTGATATTTGAAACCAAGGCAGCTGTAAAATCAGTTGTTTGACAGATATTTGTTGTTATTTATTTGCCTGTATTAATTTTCCTTTTGTTGCTTTTTGGCTATAGTGACTAATGGCTTCTATCTTCATGAATGTAGATGTCTTTATCTGGGAGAAATCAATTAAATTCTCAAGTACTTCTGTGTCAAAACCTGAAACCAATTTGTTACATATTAATTTTTTCTTTTAATTTAGTTGTCACCTAAGTAAGCTCTCTTTGTGTTTATGCGGAATTTAACTCCAGGAGACATTCTCAGAGCAGATCATCAAAGCAAGTAGTCTCACTAATTTTTTGGAAGTTTTTTTCTCCTAGGGACATTTTGTAATATCTTCTGAGGGAAAGCTGATTTTTTTAACCTTGATATTTTAGCCTGTAATCAGAAACTGCACAAACTTTGATCTGTTCCTTCCTTTATAAACACATGGGTATATGTCCAGAAATAAATAAATAAATGCACAATTTTTATAGGTGCAAGGTGCTTTACATCTGATGTCTCAGTGGGAAAGCAGCAGATTCCAATAGTGTATTTATTGAGGTAATGACTATCTGAATAGGCCACCACAATTCTTACTCAAGCTCTTGCCTCCTTTTTCTCTCAGGTTTTAATTAGTAAAATCAGTCAGGATTGAAATACCTTTTGAAGTGTGGGTTTGGTGTTATGTATGTTACACACACACTTCCCAGGGCATTTGGAATTCAAATTCAGATTAATTTGAGTTGTAATTCCTAGGGAGAGCTGTGATTCCTTGAAGTCTTGAGAACCATGATACACAGCAACAGCGCTGCAGAGAACCTTTACATCTTTTAAGAATAAACCCAAAATAGTCCCATTATTGCAGTCTAACATACACTGTCAAATAGTTTATCTAACAGTTATTTTACAATTAATTTTTTACCCAAAGCAGGATTTTGAAGCTGCACTGGCAAGATGAGCCATTTTCAATACCAGAGTTATTTAGAAATGTGTGGGTGTCACATTCTTAGCATTTGACTAATACCTCAGCTCCTCTCCCTTAGTGCTGTGCTGTCATTGCTACAGAGAACCAGCTCTGTTCTTAGTTTTTCTGGAGCTGCAGGAAGTTGGACACAGGGACTGTTAAATGGAAATCACACTCATTTTAATGTACCCTTTCTAAAGTCTGGTTTCATCAGAGGGTATTAAAGTGAAAGGCTTAGAGAAGGGGGAAGCAAGGAGTCTCAATGAGCCCATGTGACTGGGGAGCTTCCTCAGATGCCCTCAAACTCCTCTTTTTCTCAAATTCTCCAAACAATCTGTATGCTGTGAACACTTGTAAGACCCTCCTAACTGTTCTACCCTCTCATGGATTTCCAGAGCCCTTCCTTTCCCTTTTTTCCTGGGACCAGGTTATCCTTTCTCTTCAATGTTTATGAGTTTCTGGCATGGCTGGGTAGCCTGAACCTCCATCCTCTGTTTTTGTGATTTTGCTTCTTTGATGAAATTCTCATCAATGGTATGCAGGTAACTTCTAATCACAGGGAAACAATGTTGCCAACTCTTAACAATTGTACTGTGAGGCTCACAGTACTTGACTTTTTTTTCTTGTCTATTTTTCAGAGTCATTGTCTCTGGAAAAAAAAAAAAAAAAACACCTAAAATTTCCCTTTAAAAAATTACAAATTTCTGGCTTTTGTGATTTCAGAGAAACGACAGCAAAGGACAAATATTTAAATGCTAAAGATCAGAATGGCAATGCCCAAAATTTGTTCTGCTTAAATTAAAAAAAAAAAAAAAAAGAAAATTTGATTTATGATTTTGAATTCTTGGGGTTGGTAATACTAGAGAACCTCTGTTCACTGAGAGCAAGGACTTGGGGAGCTCTTTGGCCCAGTCCTGACCTCTGTTCCATGTCTTGGGGAAGAGATGGTTGGCAAAGCACAAGAGTCTGACTGAACATGTAGGGCAGATGTGCCTGTGCATGAGCACCTGTCATTTCATTAGAAATAATTGTCTTTTACCAAAACCCATGAAATTACACTCATTGTCTTACAGAGCAGATTCAAGCCTTTTGGTCAGGATCAAATTATTTCTTTCCTTTACTTTGTCTGCAGCTTTTATATGCTGTCAGTGGGGATCATTCCATCCAGATAAAATTGTGATTAAGAGCTTTGAAATTCCTAAGAATTTGTCTTGGGTAAATCAAGCCCAGACTGATAGGCATCAGCCAATCTGGAAATAGTTTGTGCTAACCAGTTACTTTCCTATGTGATGTCTGAAAATGAAAATGAAACTGTCTGCCCGTGGCCCTGGAGACAGGGCTGAGCATAAGATGAAACCCTGAAGGGAAATATCAAGAGCCTAAAATTCACTTTGAAGAAAATGCTGAGCTTTTATTTGATAAGAATTTGATAAGAAGCTGGCAGTTGGCCAAATGAGTGAATACACTAAAAGGTCAAGAGTTATTCTTGATTCTCAGCAATTGTTGTCATTTGTTCCAATCTGGTGCTCCCAAAAGAAAGCACATTTTGAATGTGATGGAAAGGTTGATTTGGGTTCTGTTGGTGCCTGTTATGATTGTGTTACCTGAAGGCACAGGGGAAGGTGATGTGGGGGTTTTGTGACAGAGCTTCCCACCAGGTCAGCATTCAGTGGGCTCAAGGCAGCAAATAGAGGTGTGGAGTGGCTCAGACAGTTGTGTTAGTGCCACCTTCCAAAGCACTGTTGGGTGAGACATTTTGGTCAGAATGAAACAGAGATTATGGATGTAGGGCTTCTGAAAAAGTCAGTATGTTAATAGATGGGATTGTGGGAAACCTGACTTCAGAGTTTGATGTCCTGGGGTTTGGATGAAGGTGGATGAGCGTGGTTCTCACTGGAGGTTGGTGGTACCTTAGTTCTCCTGAATTTTTCCCATTTAACCAAGTATCTCTTAGTAGACATCACTATCATGAGTTGTTGCCTTCTAATTTTATTTTCATTCTTTTTTAAAATTTATTTTAAAATTGGTTTGATGTGCCTGAGAGTTGTGTGCTGGTTATTCTCATACCTGTTTGACAGAGAAAATGCTGCTGACACTTGTGCTGCTGTAGGGATATAGACACACATAAAACTGTGATATGATCCCAAATTTTCTTCAAAAAAAGCCTTACAGAACCAAATCCAGATGCTCATCAAGGAGAATAGTCCCACTGACATTTTAGTTGGTTAATTCAGCATTCACGGTACTTGGCTGAAAATTCTAATAAATCCCAGCTTCTGAATTCATTGTGCACAAGGTGTTGAAGTGTGTGTCTGTGTAAGGCATGTCCAGCCTTACTCTGTTATTAACTTTATGTGTCTTTTTCCAAACAGATGCCAGAGGAGCAGGCATTCTGTGTATTTGTGAAAATAATGTATGACTATGGCTTGAGGGACCTCTACAGAAATAACTTTGAAGATCTCCATTGCAAATTTTTCCAACTGGAGAAGTTAATGCAGGTGGGGCCGGAGTAACCAATTCTCCTTCAATTTGTTTCATAAATGGAAACACTGGCATGAAGAAGAGATGAATGCTTTGCTTCCAAAAGCTATTGGGGCAATAAAACCCCCTCTCCTTTTAGAGGTGGGGTAAAGCAAAGTTTAATAGCTGAATTCAAGCATCTTAAGTCAGATTTGTTTCTAGTTTCTTTTGTCTCTGATACACCACTTCTGCAGCTAATCTTTGTATCCAAGCAGGTATTTGCCTTTCCCCCCTCTCTGTTTCTGATGTTGCTTAGAGAGAATATCTCTGTGCTATTGAGGCCAGTGTACCCTTTGGACTGCCTCCATCATTGTCCTGCTTCCCTTGAATTATGTGGGTGTGAAGAGGTCAGGCAAATCAGGACATCCTGATGCTTATGAAATACCAATCAAGTGTGGACCACTGGGCAGGTTTTATTGTCTCCTCCAAGACTCTGCTCTTTTTTCAGCTGGAATTATTTCATCAAGCAGTTCAGCAGAACTGAAGGGGCTGCAAATGTTAGACATTGTTGTTGTGACTACTAAGGAATTACTGAGAGTTCATTAAGCCCTGCCCTCCTGTTGGCAATGGGAAAAGCTGCTTGCTGAAGTCAACTCTCACAGATAACCACAGGTACCTCTGTGGATATACTGAAAGCAAACAGAAGAGACTATTGCCAATTTAATGGCATTTTTTCAGATGTCAAATTGTGCATATTTCATACTTGATGGAGTGGAATTGCATACTAATTAATGTGACACCTCAGCATATGGGCTTCTCAATATTTACTTATGTCCACAAAGATTTTTGTCAACAAACAAAACAGATTCTATGAACAAATATACTCTTAACAAAGATACTTTATTAAAGTGACCCTGTCATCACTGTTCAGTAGGATTTTCAGTGCTTATTTTGTGTTGTTTGTATGTGCTCCTAGTTACAGAAATGGTCTGCTGGAGTTGTGTGCTCTGTTGCTTTCCAGCTCTGCAAAGTGGCCTGGTTCCTGCAGCCACTGTTTTTGTGGCAGAAGCATTTATAGCAAGACACAGCAAAGAAATAACTTTAAAATATACAGCATGACATAGATTTTACAACTGCTCTGCCTTTCAACTGTTGAAGATTCTGTAATTTCTCAGTATAGTCTCAGTATATTCTTTGATACTGTGATAGAATCCACTGTGGATCTCTTACTAAAAACTGTAACCATGGGCACTGAAATTTATCAAGAAACATCTTCACTGCTCAAAAGAAGCCAGGCTTTCACTTTGTTGTGGTTTTGGATATTTAGCAACCCTGGTCCTTACTGCAAGTGTGGATGAAGAACTCAAATTAATGAGTAACACTGAAACATTTGTTTTTTTCCTTTATTGCAGGAGCAGTTACCAGACTTGCACAGCCATTTCTCAGACCTCAATTTGGAAGCTCACATGTATGCATCCCAGTGGTTTCTCACTCTTTTTACTGCCAAGTTTCCACTCTGCATGGTCTTCCACATCATTGACTTACTACTTTGTGAGGTAAAAAAATATTGAATCAGAAATTCCTCCACTCCATCAATGTTTCTTCTTGTTTTATTTTGTTTTGTTGAAGTCCTTTACTGTTTAATTATAAAATGTGTGTAGTTATGTAGAAACCATGGTTATATGGAGCAGAAGATGTTCAGTGAAACACTGGTTTGGTTTTAAAATTAGAACTGTGGATTGCCTCATTTTTTTGCTGAGGGGTCTAATCAGGAATATCTGATGCACACCTCTGTTTTTTGTTTAATTTGTTAAATGATTATTCAGAGTTAGAAATTGTCATTTCTTGAAAAGACCTAGTAAGGAAAGCTCTCCAAGTGGCCTGGCTCAGAGTGTCCACAGACAGAAATGATGGCCTGGTACTACACAAAGAGTGAGAAGGGCCAAACACAACTGCAGGAAGCTCCTTCCTTTTGGTTCTTATCCCTGCTGTTCCAACTAGGAATGCACTACTCCAGATACAAAATGCTGTGTGTTTGTGCTGCAGATATATCTGCACTTTCTTCTGAAAGCCAGTCAGAATTGGTTGATAATCTAGAATATTTATTTTGGTAAAAAACAAGTCCTTCCTTCAGTAAATGGGCAGTCCATGGCATTAATCCTGCTTTTAAACCTGTCACTGATTTCCTCTACAATTTCAAGGGGTCACAAACATGAGAATGAATAGACAGATAAAATATTTGATAATTTTAAATGGTGAAGGCTTCACTAGTATGAAACACTGTTGACTGTAGCTCATTTTGTTAGTTTTTATTGTGGAATATTTTCTCTGAGAATCTTCAGGCTTGCTGCAGGTGCCTTGGTAGGATTCAGTCCTTGAGACTTTTCTTATTCTGCATATTGGTGCTCAGTTATCAAAGCAAGGTAGGGTAGTATTGGCATTGTTTATCTCAGTGTGTCTGAAGCAGTTATGGTGGAAAAGAAGGTGAAAATCCAAGGGGAAAGTAAGAGAGTGCAGTGTTAGAACATGCTGGGGAAAGGGAAACTTGTCAGTGTTTGTGGAGGGTCATCACACACAGCTAAAGGAGCCTCTTTTACTACAGCCAAAAATAAACCAGAAAGAGCAAGAAAAGTTATTTCAGGTGAGAAAATACATGCAGACATCTTGGGAAAGAGTGGGGCAGTGGTGGCAGACAATGTCCTGAGGCACCAGTGTGGGCTATCAGAAAAATGCTCCTCAGAGGCAGGAGTCAACCACTCTCAAGTAACAGGCAGGTCTGAGAATTTGTGGGAGTGACATAGATTAAAGTCATATTAAAATTAAAAATCTATAAGAAGTTGCCCCTCATTGTAGACAGCAAGTCAGTTCTGTAGGTGTATGGCCACAGGCAGAGCCAGGAAAAAGCCATTCCTTGAACAGAGGACTGAAGTTGTTTGTCCAGTCAGCCTCTGGAAGGAATTATGGGGGAAATCAAAACATAATTTTTTCTGCATTAAATTGTTCCTTACTTTATCTCTGAACAACCAGCATGCTGGTAATTCTGGCAACTGGAAGGAGAAAAAACAGTGGCAGCTGCTAACAGTGAAACATATTCTGCAGAAAAAATCCCCAGAAAAGCAAGCAGCCTTTGAAGTGAATTGTCTTAAGTTTTTAGAAACAAGCTTCCAGCCTTTTGCTTAATTTGTCATAGATACAGATGAATTTTAAGTACCCTTCAAGTTCCTGACTTGTGTTTTCCCCACATCCTTGGTAACAAAATGTTGACATTCTATGCAACTCTTATAGGAAAGAAAAAAATTAGGGGAAGAAAACCATTTGAAACCATTGCTGCTAAGTAATAATTTTAAGGGAGCCATTCCGGTTGCCTTGAAAATATTTGAATTATGGGTGAACAATTTGTGTCTTGGAATAGCTGATCTCTAGAGGTCCCTTCCAACCCCAACCATTCAGTGATTCCATGTCAAGCAAGAGTTTTAGTATTGGCTTGGGTTTTTGATTTTTGATTGTGGCTGGAAGAGTGAAATTGATCCTTTCAGATGCTGTTTTCAATCCAGAGAGGAGAAATACCTGGGAAGTGCTGTAATTTCCCAGCTGACCAGGGAGGCACATTTCCTTCCCCTGCCTGCACAGAGGCACAAGCTGAGGCTGGAGCTCCTGGGCAGAAGCAGAACTGAAAAAGGAGCTGAAGTTATGATGGGAATTAAGTTTTATGGAGGAACTTTTAAAATCTCTTCAAAATGAGTGTCATTACAGTCAAGGTCTTCTCATCGTTCTCACATGAAATATTGCTTCAGAGCAGTTTGATTTGCACAAATTTGGGCAAATTTGGCCAGAGCTTCTGTGTGACTGAGTTAATTTTATTCTGTTGTCTCCCTAGCACGTTTTTTTAAATTATTATTATTATCATTTAAGTTGTAACCAGGCTGTTGAAGATATGAATAAGCTCTTCAAATTACTTCAATTTGCAGTGGTGTTAGAATATTACCTGAGTAGTTCTAGGGCAGAATCTGTCACCCATCCCCACACAGAACTGAAATATTTTTGAATTTTTTTTCTTCCCTGTGACAGAAGCTTGAGGAGAATTTTGGGCTTCAGGCAGGTACACCACCACAGTGCCTGGTCCATATTACAAGGCTCAGCTGCTTGTAATAAAAACACAAACCTTTTGATCCAGGGGAAAGTTTTAATGTGATTACAGCAAACTGTATGGGTTGGAGCCTGGAGATCTTTCTATAAGGCTCCTTTTAGCTGCCTGTTGCAGCTGTTTCATTTGTCTTTTCCCCTTTGCTATTTCTGTTTGCATTGAAGAACAGTTTTGTTGATGAAAAGCAGAGTTGTATTTTGGATTTGTCAGTCTTATCTGTCAATATGACATGATGTTATTGAACACTTCTCGAGCCTGCTCTGTTTCTCTGTCTCTTTTTGTTCTATTTTAAATTATTTATTTAAAGTCATGCTCAGAAATAGCAATTCATTTAGGTAAAGCTCTTGTCACTCAGAGCTGTCCTCAGTGCAACAGCTGCACCTCGGCTGTGCTACAGAATATCAAAGAGTTGACATTTCGCTTCATTTTGTGGTTTAAACTATTCAATTTAAAATGAAAATGTTTGTTTAAAAAACACTAAATAAATGACCTTCAGTAGGCTCTTAGAAGAGAAAAACAACCCAAACCAGTTGGCAGATAATCTGTAAGCGTTTTCAAAATTGTCATGATTTTTTTTTCTGCTTAAAAAAGAAATTTCTTTAACCTTTTGTGATGTATACAGTTCTGCCAAAACTAAAGGAAGTGGAGAGCTCAAGCTGTCATTCCATTATTAGCTGAGAATTTTGAAACACTATGGGCAACCTCCATTTTAGGTTGATCTAGCTATTTTTGTGTGCATTTTTGGGAGATATAAAATACTTAAGGACAGTACTTCTCTCCTTCTAGGCAATATGCAAAAACCTCTCCTGCATGCTGCCCTTCCTGGGCTGGCACAGACAGCTGTTTATTTTAGTGTCATAATACATAATTTGACTATGTAATTTGACTACTAAGCTGCCATTCTGACTGGGTCATGGCTGGATACAAAAGGATGCAGCTAATTATCAGTTTTGGGTATGAAATTATGTAATATTTATTAATATAGCTAAGAGCAAAGAAGGAAAAGTGCCTTTCACAGGGCCACAGAGCACAGTGCAAGAAGGGGGAATTGAAAGCTAGGATACCATCACTCCTTGGCCTTTATTTATCAACTGTTGCTTTCAGAATATTGTGTACAACATTTTTTATAATAGATTTTGAGAAATTGTCTGTTACAACGAAGGCTGATAGGTGTCTTTAAAAATCATGTAAAATGTGAACACCGTGGTGCTGTTAAGTGAGTACTTACTGATAGCTAAAACCTGGCACCACATTGTGGAGATTTGCTTATTTGGGAGCTCTCCTTCCTAATGAAACATTGAAAATCAGAGCAGAATCCCAAGTATTGACGCTGAGGAGTTGATTTCTGTCTTGTGTGTGTCTTGCTGGGGATGGATGTGCCAGGAGACGCCGTCTGGTAGCGCTCAGGGCTGGCCGAGGAGGAGGGACCATCACAGCCTGCTATTTTTTATCTGTCACTGTCACAGTCTTCTGTGATGCCTTCAACAGAGCTGAGAAAGAACAGATGAACATTTCAATTTATTAAACTTCCTCAGGAATTGAGTCAAGAACAAGCCCACTTCCTCTGTAAATCTGCACTGAGATGAAATGGGAATTAAATAGAAGACTGTGCACAGTTGTTTATCTTTTGTGGATCTATAGGGGAAGAAAAATTGAACTTTTTAAACTTACTTGTATTGCCATGTTTTCTACATTTGTTAACCCTTCCAGTCATGAATATTTTAAGAAATCATACAAAACGCAAGAAGGGACTTGCTAGAAATAAAATCTCTTATGGTAACAGAATATTAAAAGCTGGGCTTAAATTCTAAGCAGGCATAGATCTGTGCTGGAGCTGTCTGTGTTATTTCAGTACTATTTACCAGAGTGAAGTCAATGCCATACATGTTAGGTGGAAAAGGCCAGGAGCTGTCTGTGTTCCTTTTAGGAATACAGACAAATAAATGTTGGCATTTAGGCTGTGTCCTTCCTCCTGCCCAATCCCTTTGCATCAGGCCTGCTGGAGAGCTGAGTCTTGCTGAAGCCCTTATCAGCCACTGCTATTTCATGTAAAGAGACTGGGAAGGATTTCTTTCCCAGACTGCTATAATTAGCTTTTAATTAATTTAGAAGGAGGAGAATAGGTTTTCTCAGACTCCAGATGGATGACTGGAATTTGAATGTGGGTGTCCAGTGGTAATGCTGGCTTGCTGCAGTCAAGGATCTGTTGACATGTCAACCATCATGATCATTTCTGTTGCAGAAGTGGGAGGTCTGCAATGGAGATAACCTCAGGTTTCCTAGACCCTGATGTTTGGCTTTTATGTTGTTAGATGAGTTATTAAATCCAAAGGAGAAGTAATTTTAGCCTAATTCATGTGATGATCTACAGCTGTAATCCACTGTGGGGGCTTTTCAGCACTAGAGCAGAAA